GTTACCCTCAATCATTGTCGGAAGAAACTTTACCTTAGTTTGGGAGGCAATGCGACAATACCGTCGGTTAAATTCAAACACCAGGGTAAGCGTCTTGAGCGTGTTTTACACGTGATTTTAACGCCACTCTCTTTTTAACGAAATGACCATTCCTTTCGGTTTCAAAGGAACAGCTCAATAATGATGATGCGAACGGTGAAGATGGTGGGTACAATGCTGAAACATGCATACGCTAGTTGACGACAAATATTTTAAACCAGAAAAAAAAATTTTTTTAAATTGCAATGTGCATTCAGGTCCTGATTTCCGAATCAGCTTCGAGAGTACGCATTCATACGCGCTACAAAATTCGCGCGGGTATCCATCTACGAATGACTTTTCCGCTAGTCAAGACGCATTGCTAGAACAAGTTCTCAAGTTGACCAAAATTTCTCAGCAGAACCAGGACACCCTGGAAAAAATTCTGCGAACATTGGAACAAAACGACATTAAACTCAGTGATACCCCTGATAAAACCTCGACTCCTGATGAAAGCGACATTCCTGATGAAATAATGACACCTGAGAAAAGTTTCATTCCTCAAATTTCTTGATCGAATCAAATTGTCAAGATGAATGATGGCATTTAACCAATTATAGGAAATGAAATTAACGGAATAATGTATTCCGTAAGTTCCATTATCATAATCTAACTTTAGAATTTCGTCAACAAGCTTTTTTTTTTCTTCTCTTTAAAAACCTTTGTTTAATTAACAACATCATAACTTCTAATGCTTTTTGTCTTCTATTAGGAATTATTTTACGACATGAATCTTATTAAATAATGTAACATACATATAGATATGGGTTATCAACGAATAAATCTTACGTCTTTTTTTCTTTCTTTCTCTTTCTCTTTTCGTGCAAGTCATTCCACTAATCAGATAATAATTACCAGACCACCTCTATTACAGTGGGAATCTGATTTGAACGCAAGATTATGTTGAAACCACAACTAATAGAAAACGAATTATTTATATCAAAAAATTAGCATTCACACTTAACTATTTAATGTAACTTTATACCATACTTAAACATCACCTATTTTTTATCACAAGAATAATTTAAAATTTTGTTTCAAAATTATAATCCTAGTTCTGATATCTTTTAATTAGAAATATTGATTTTAAAAAATAATTTCTAATCCAATCGACTATGGTATAGTTTATCAAGATTTAAGTGATATATACAATCTTTTTAATAAAACCACTTGAATTTATCAAATCAAAAATCTGATGATTAAAATTTATTAGTGATTGTGTTTAAACCAATTCGAATTTAATTAATCGCTTAAAAATACGTATTTGGGGAGGTATTGTATAAAGATCTTGTGTGCAGAATATGATCTATTATTACTTAACGAAAAAATCGACCATAGTTAAATAAAAATAATTATTATTTGTGATAGGGCTTGTGCATAATGCTTCTACTTTAATGTGTTGTTGCATAACTATTCAGGAATTTTTTGAGTTCACCTAATATTGTGACTGTCTCAGTTTTAATTAAAACCTACATAGGCATGTTAAAAGAAGACTTTAAAATATCAATTCGCCAAGTATTTTATATTTATATTAAATAATGAACATTATAAAAAATAAAATTTTTCGAAATCTTAGAAATTACAGCTTTAGTGCTTCTATCTATCCCATAGAAGAGAAATGATAGAATTTTGCTAATTTCATTTTCACTTTAAATTTTTTTCAATTGTTTATGATTTGATTGATAATTTTTTATTTTGATATGAATGAGTTATAAATTACATTTGTTAAATAGGTTTTCAACTTATTAAATTTTAATGGTCAATATGATTATCATTGTTCAATATTATCATTCATATATTAAATTAACAAAATTAAATCTGATTTCATATAACCATTTTTACTTTTTTAAAAAATTCTGTAATATATACATAGCATATTGCAAAACGAATGATGATTGTTTTTATAATTTAAAACTTTCATGCACATGTTTTTCAAAAAATATAAATAAATGATAATAATTTTTTGATGCTCCGAAATTGCTGTACCATTGGAAACTATATAGACATTTAAAAAGATTAATAATATCGATAATAAAAATATACAAAAATAAAAGAAATACTAATGAAATATGAAAAATATGCTTAATAATTGATAAAATTATTAAAAAATTTAAAAAATTTTCATCAACATTATTAAATATTCTATTTTTTCTGATCTTAAACTATTTAATAAATTTGATTAGTTGAATAATAACAACAACAAATAATAATAATGTATTGTTATTATAATAAAAATTCTAATTTTATATTAAACTAGAAAACAGAAATCATTATATATATATATTTTTTTTTACATAGGTAAACATCATTTCTTTATTTATTTTTATAATGGTATATATACATTTGTGAAAGAAACAACATCTCTTAGGTACAAAAGCATACAATAAGTTAAATGCTAACTTGCCTACACAATCTATATCTAACTAATATTGAAAATAAATTTTAAAACAATATTAATATGCTAGATATAGCTGAATAGTGGCTATGCCTACCTATTCAGAATTATTTAATAGTGGCTATGCCTATCTATTCAGAATTATTTGATAAGACATGAGAAAGAAATTGAAAAGTAAAAGAAAAAATAAAGACTATTAAAACTAAACCTAAATCAAACAAATTATATAATCTATGAAAATAAAAGTTATAACTCCAAGGAAATCTCTGCACCAGCTCATTGTTCTGTAACTCCGGTTCCTTGCTACTTGTTGATGTGACTTTTGTTAATCCAGATAATGGAATATGAATGATGTTGTTTATTATTTTAATAGTGGTGGTTGTTATTGTTGTCATACTGTAAAACTGATTTGAGTTGATTTGAACTTTGTTTTGATAAAATAATAAAATCTGAATGAATAATAATATTGTTATTGTATTGATATAATTGGTAATTGATATAGTAATGGATTTGTTTGTAAGTACTTGGTTTGTTGTGAAAGTGGTGATTGTTATGATTATAATAGTTGTTGTAATGATATTATTTATGTTAATTGCTAAAAAATATATTGAATATATGATTTTATTTTAATTATTGATACTGAAAAAGGCTTTGTTTTTGTACAGAAATCATTATATATTCAAAGTACAATGGGTGGCCAAAAGTTATCGAACAGTTCAAATGCCAATAATAAATTTTTTTTTTTTACTAATTATATTTTTAAAAAAATTTTTTTTTTAAATATACATTATTTTATTAATATATTTAATATATTAATATTTCGTAAGTCCCCCATGTGCCGAAATTACAACCGATACCTGTCTCAGCATACTGTCCACCAGTGATTTGATCATCGATGCAGTGATTTTTTTTCATGCAGATTTGACAAACTTTTCAAATTCTGTCAAATTACGTGGCTTATTTTTATGATTTTGAATACTTTTCTTGATCTCAGCCCAAAGATTTTCTATTGGGTTTAGATCTGAGCTTTGCACAGGCCACGAAAAAGAGTAAACAATTTTTTCTTCACAAAATTCTGTAGCCACTTTCGAATGGTGAGGTGGCGCATTATTATCCTAAAACCAGTAGTCACTATTGGGAAACATACGTTGTAATGTAGGCAATACATACTTACGAAGAATCTCAGTATATGATTTTCCAATTATAGAATTGCGCAATGGAACTATCGGATTCACTCCTTGTCGTAAAAAGCACCCCAGTGCATTCGACTTGAACTGTGCTTGACAGTTTTTGCGACGCAATCCAGAAGCCACTCTTCCCTTGGTTCTCTCCAAACACAGCTATTTCGAAGTTGCTGGAACTGTAAAAATATTGATTCATCGCTCCATAATACTTTGAACCAATCATTTGTTGTCCAATTCTCATGTTCTTTACACCATGCCAACCATGCTTCAATATTCTTTGGCGAAATCAAAGATTTGTATCGGGTGATACAACTTTTTAAGCCCACAAGACCAAGAGTGCGACGAACAATACGTATGGAAAGTATCTGACCAGTTTATTTTTGCCAAAGAGTTTGTATTTTGTTAACTGTAAGATAACAATTTTTTTTAATAACCATTTTCTTGAAACGGTTGCATTGTGATGCCTTGACGAGATAAGGTCGCCCGATTCGATGCTTCAGTGCAATAGAATTTGTTTCGACGTGGCATTTTACAGTATCAAAAACTGTAGTACAATCACAATCAACTCTTTCAGCTATTTGGGCATAAGAATCACCATGGCTGTGTCCGTAAATGATGGCTATCCTCAGTGCTTCTGTTAGTTCTTTTCTCGGCATTTCGTGTAGATCGCCTAAAAAAAAAATTAAATTAAATTAAAGTATAATAAATTAAATAAATACATAAAAAATAAAGAAAAATGTAAATAAATT